ATCTGCGTTTCTCACGCTCGCGTATATAAACAATTCGCAATTTTGGTGCATCGGATTAAAAGGAGTAAATGGGCTCTTTTGTCTTTTTGTTAAAAATGGGTGTTTTTATATTGTTTTTGAACTTTAATTTTAAAATGCAGAGTTGTAGGAGCTAATGGTTTGGCCCTTACTACAAAGTACAAAATCAATCCTTTTCTTCTAAAAGAAATAATAATAAAAAAAATCTCAATCCTTTTCCAACTCCAATTTTCTTACTTCAGAACATGGTAGGCCATCCTCATCAGTTTGATTACTATACGTAACCTCACAACAATTGTTGGCGAACGGGTCCACAAGGATGATTTTTTATAACAGGATGATAAGGAACTTTGACTGAAGTGGATACCTTCGCATGACAAAACTGCTACAATCACATATCAGACTGTTTTCACTTAATTAAACGATTAAAATTATAATATTTATAAACTACATTTATTTTATTGATTCGGGTTTAAAATTTAAATTTTTTATAATAAATAAACTCTTAGAAACAATCACATCTAACTTTTTTACTACAGTAAAAAACTCTCACATAAAGTCACATCTCAACTCGAATTAAAAACTTGAATCAACGAACTAAACGAACCTTATAGATAGTTAATAAAGATAACTCCTACCACATAAAGTTTTTTTTTTTGCCTGAATAGAAAGCTTATTGTTAAAACATAAAGCTTATTGTTAAAATATATCATCAATTAAGAAGTGACCACACACTGTGAAATTCGGCTGGGTAGAGTAGGGTTTTAATAAAGAGTTGGGCCGGCCCACAAGAATCGGGCTGAGACAAAAGTGGGCCGCAACAAGTTACTTGCCCCCAGAACCCGTACACCATCCGGTTACCTCGGGTAATCTCGGGTCGGCCGGATTACTTCGGGTAAGCCATCACTTTTTTAAAAAAACTGAGAAAAATTTTAAAAAACTTTTGCTTCTCAAACTAGTTTTACTTGAGAAAAAACATTTGAAAAAAAATTGCTTCTCATTCTATTGAGAATTATGCTTATTGTCCAGAATACTATGTAAAACCAACTCTCATTTCAAGACTCTCGTGTACCTAGATAAACTCAAAGTAAATTTGCTTCTAGTCCATGGGTTTACCTCTGTGGATGCTCATACCAAAAAACACATTCAGAATATCACAACCAATACTTACCTTCCAAACACGACCAAATCACAAATCACAACCAACCCAAACACTTACCTTGCACAAATCACAACCAACCTAATCTTGTCAGGGCAATTCAAAGGAGAAAAGGGAAAAAAAATAAAATCCAACCAACCCCTTCAAATCCATCCTTGTCGCGAGCAAGCCTTCCCATTGCACAGCCCAAGCCGACGAGACAAGAGAAAAGAGGGTCTGAAGGAGAGGCGGTGAGATGCGGAGGAGGAAGTGAGAAGAAGAAGAAACGACCAAAATCGAGAGACTCAGTCTCAGATTCAAAGACTTGAGAGAGCGGCGAGAAGACAAATGGGACAAAGGGGTCGAGAAAGAAAGAAAATGAGGAAGAAACAAGAAAGTAGGGCTGTAGGGTGTTTTTTTTTTTTTTTTTTTACACTAGGACCAATATCATGGTCGGCCGGGTAGGGTTTAACAGGTCAAATAAAGCCCGGCCCGCGACCCTACCCGTACAGTGCGGGTTGGGCTATTTTGAAACTGAAAAATGTAATAAAAAAAGAATACCTTATATTTTCGGGTAGAGTAGGGTCGGATAGACCGGGTTAATCGGGTTCGGGGTGATTTCTTACACCCCTACAAACTACCACGATAGACTAGTGGCAGTCGCTGATTGATAACCACAAAATATCACAAGAGCATACAACGATCACTAACAGACTATCATCGACTAGCAGAATTCTTAATATCGTGACGAAAGTATCATAGTAGAATATTATCGACCATCATTGGCTACTATCGATGACTAATTTGATATCGTTAGGGATATTTGAATTTTAAACATGTTTGTGTAGCATTTTATGCATGAATTTTTCTTTTCATGACAAAAATACAATCCAAAAAATATTTTGCTAGTTAAAAAATCTTATCATAACAATTTTTCACATGTTTGTGTAGCATTTTAGGCAAGAATTTTTCATTTCATGACAAAAATCAATCCAAAAAATATTTTGCTAGTAAAAAAATCTTATCATAAAAATTCTCCAAAGCCCCCGTAATTTTTGGAGTAAACTTATAATAACGTGTAATGTATTTTAGAAATAATATTGATTTTATTTTTTGGGTTGCTGTCATGTTATTAGTCAACCCTTAATACTTTAATTGATATCATATGTCTTCTTATTCATGTCTTTTTTTTGTCTATCTATAATATCATGTCACGTTAATTAAAATATTTTAATTATCATGACTTTTTAATTAACATTATATAAAATTTTAATTGAACATAAAAGTACATATCAATAGTGGAACACAAAAATCGATTCTCTGTATTAAATGATGATCCTTTTGCCTTAGCACACCATGGGAAAGAAAATGGTCATAATCGTGTTTAGGAATGAATATGCTAAGCTCATTTCCTCAAATATTATCAGTAGGTACTTCACAAAAGATGATTGCTCACACAATTAATGTTAGTGTACTAGTGGTAGGTGTTCTGAATCATACACCACGCGAATTTCATTGAAAATAACAAATCGACTTTCACCCACTACGACTTTACAAGTTCAAGAATCAAAATAGAACTGTCAATACCCCAAACATTGAATGGAGATGCTAAAACGTCCAAATTCAATTGGTTTGTTAAAAAATGAGTCGGTGTTAGAGTTGAACTCTTTCTCTTATTATTATGGCTAGAGATGTTAAAACGTCGAGTCGCCAATATAAACTCGACACATTAATAAGTAGACACGACACGATATGTCATCATTATTAAATGGGTCCAGCTCTTTCTGTTCACTAAATGGGCTGAGTTTGATGTAATTTTTTCATTTTTAGGTGCGACATGAACCCCGTTAAAAGTATAATAGGGATCCATCTAGTGAATATGAAGTATAAAACTATTATTATTATTGTTATTATATTATTATTATTATTATTTTATAAAAATTATAATGTTTGCTTGGTAAAGTTTTTTAATGAGACATGTAATTTTTTTAATTAATGATGTGCTTTTTTTGTTAAGATTTTATTGTTTTCATTATGTTTAATACTTATTTTCTTGTATTTATTATAAATTCACTATTTGGTACAACAAATGCATATCAAGAGCATGATAAAAAGCATGACAAACGCACATGCACATGCATGAACAATGGCGAAGCCAGCCTTTAGCTTTAGTGGTGGCGTTACAGGCGTACATAAATTTTGCTTATTTTTTAACATAAAAAATTATAATATAATATTTTTTAAGAAATACCAAATACATATCAAGAATTCTACCTCTTTATAAACCTATGATTGTCTTAGAACGTAATATACATATATATGTATAAAGACTGTTTGTTTCAAATCAATTGCTACCTTTTCTCCGCTTTGACTTAAAAAACCTAAACACACTTAATAAAATATAAAGAATAAAGAAAAAAATAAAAATTATTAAATATGAGAAATGTTTTGGTGTTTTTCATAATCAAAATCAAACCTTGAGCCTAGAAAAAGATAAGGACCAAACATGAACTTAAAATTTAAAAGTATCAATATGATGCAATCCAAAATATAAAATATAGTTTTTTTAAAAAACTCAAAATGTAAGGTATAAAAATGAAAAGAACACTACAAAAAGGATTTGCTCCTGAGTAAAATGAATAAAGTTGTTTTTAAAATAAATACTAGACATAAAATAAATAGGATAAAGTTAAGTGAGCATATATGAGAATATTAAATTTCATTGAGGGCAAAACAAATAAGTGAAAAATTTTCAAAGGTTGAAATTTAATTTTTTTAAATCTCAGTGGGGACGCCTGCACCCATTCAACCCTTAAAAGCTCTACCATTGGGTACGAGCGTGTCTCAAACACGTTATGAGCACAACTCACGCATAAATAGACCGTGAGTCGGGTTTGACGCTATAAAAATTAAATAGGTTAAGAGCTAGTACGACACATAAATAAATGAGAAAAAATAAAAAAAGGAAGAAAGAGAGAAATAAGTTAAGATTTGAGATAAATTAAAATTAATAGGTCAATAGTTTACATAAGTTAATAAATATGCTAAATTATTGTTTTCGTCCATAATTTGTTTGGTTATGAACCATAACTTGACAAGTTATTATCTATAACTTATCTGGTTATGAACCATAACTTGACAAGTTTGTCCATAACTTATCTGGTTATGAACCATAACTTAACAAGTTATGGCCTATTAATTTCTATAACTAAAAATTGGCCTATGTACTTTCTTAAGCTTTTCATATTGACCTATTTTCTACTATTTTCCAATAAAAAATTCCACTCTCCTATATAATAATCGTAAAATTATTATTTATACTACTCTTTTAAAAAAAGAAGTTTTATTTAATTAATAAAATGAAAATAAAAAATTAAAATCATAGTTAATTATTTAGAACGATATATCTTACACAAAATGATGATAAATTACGTACGTTTCTCTAAATTAAATGGACAAACCCAAATACAGTGCGAGCCACATATGAACCTAATTAAACGGGCATGTGCCATACTGAGCCGACTCGATTAGCATCTCTACAAGTAGCCAAAAGAGAGGAGAACGAAGAAAAGATATGAAAAATTTTATAGTGGCCGAAACTGCAAAGACGCGTACGTAAGCTGGTTCCTCTTTCTCCGGAGTTAAAATTTTAATTGGGGTGGGCCACCACCTCAACCAGACTACCAGACACAACAGTCGTTAAGTTTAACAGCCAATGCTTCTGCCTGCTACTCCTTGCTTACATTATCACTATTATACCATTATTATATAACCATCGTCATTATGTATACATTTATTTTATATTTCTATATTTTAAGAACTCTCACCGCCTTCCTCTTTTGGCTGGCAGGTCCAGATTTATTCAAAACCTCCCAAATATTTTGTTTTTTTTGGATGTTAAATGCAGGCTAGCGGCAGCTTGGAAATCTGGGGGCAAACCCATGTGCGTCCTCGCACCCCACCTGTTCGGTCAATTGCCTGAAAGACGTCAAACGCATAAAAATTTGTACAAAAATGTATAAACAAATTTATGGCTTTTCTAGGCTTCAAACCATTCACACATACCTTACCTTACCTTACCACACAACAACAACTAAGCACAATTATTGGGATTGAATAAATTGACCAATGAAATACCTCTTAGCCATATCTCTTTCTTAAATACTTTTTCATTCATTCATTCAATCAATCATTCTTTGCAAACCCAGACTTGTTTTGAGATTTGAGCTTCTGGGTTTTGCTCATCTCCACTCGTTGCCTAATGGGTCATATCAATTCCTTTTCTTTGCTTTGCCTTTTTTCTCTTCTTTTATTAGGAGCTTGTTTTGGTGATGATTCATATCAAGATCAAGAGAAAGACGGGATCATTGAATTGCCTGGACAACCCAAGAACGTGGGGTTCAATCAATACTCTGGTTATGTCACTGTCAATAGAAAATCTGGTAGAGCATTGTTTTACTGGCTCACCGAGTCGCCGGTGAGTCGGAGACCCGAGTCAAGGCCACTCGTTTTGTGGCTCAATGGTGGACCCGGTTGCTCCTCCGTCGCTTATGGAGCGGCGGAGGAGATTGGACCTTTCCGCATTAGGCCTGATGGGAAGACCCTTTACTTAAATCCTTATTCTTGGAACAATGGTATGTGGAACTTTGTTTTTTGTTCTTAAAAAAGAAAAATGTTTGTTTTTTTAGTTGTCATTGGTTTTTGTTTTCTGGGCAGTGGCGAATTTGTTGTTCCTTGAGTCTCCAGCTGGTGTTGGCTTTTCATACTCCAATACGACATCGGATTTGTACACTGTAGGTGACCAGAGAACAGGTATAGTTGAAATGTTGAGTGATCTCAGTTTTCTTGCTTGATCTGGAAGATTCATGGATGATGAGGATGTGTTATGTTGTTTAGACAATGGGGTTGACTTTGACATTGTTTGGTGCTTTTGGCATCTGGGTTTTTGTGCTTTTGTAGCGCAAGATGCATACATATTTCTTCTACATTGGTTTGAGAGGTTCCCACAATACAAGCACAGAGATTTCTATATTGCTGGAGAAAGTTATGCAGGTACCGAATATTTGTACCTTAACCTGTTTTTAGCCTCTAATATTAGTTATTGAACTTCAACTGTAATGGTGGAAGTTGTGTAGTTTCTGATTTCTTGATATGATAATGATGAGAGAAAATTTTCAAATCTTCACTCTTTTTAGGTCATTTTGTTCCTCAACTATCTCAACTTATTTACGAAGGAAACAAGGGAATTCAGAATCCTGTAATCAATTTCAAGGGATTTCTGGTAAGGATGTAGGCTGTACAAGAATTTTGGGGTGAGATGCAAATTAAAGATTTCCGAGGGCTATTAGTGTATGAGTTTCTATTTCCAAAGTTAGGCAATGATTGACTACTAAAACTGGGTCAACTTCTTTTCTTGTTCCATTTCTGTCTGGTAGGTGGGAAATGCTGTGACTGATGATTACCATGATTTTATTGGGACATTTGAGTACTGGTGGACCCACGGCTTGATCTCTGATTCTACCTACCGAGTGCTACGAAAGGTCTGTGAGTCTGGATCCTCACAGCATCCATCATTGGACTGTATGAGTGCTCTTGTTGTTGCTGAGAGGGAGCAGGGAAACATCGATCCGTATAGCATTTTCACAAGGCCTTGCAATAAAACTGGATCGCTAAACCGCAACTTAAGGGGTCATTATGTAAGTCCTCATGAAACCTTTCTTTTAGAAAACCACTGAACCCTTTAAATTTTGTCACAAAGATGTTGTAAGTTTTCATTAATGTCAAGAGATTTGGAAGTATAATGAGCTTCATACTCTAAATATTGCGAATTTATTCTAAGAAGCCCCGTGTTGTTCCTCTGGCGGTCTGGCATGATTTTATAGTTCATGATACATTCCATTAATGGTGCCACGTGCTCACAATTAACGGAGCTTGCTAAGTATTTATAGGCTTTGAATTTGCAAATTGGTTTAGAGTTATTCCCGGGAAACAAATACTTAAAGTTGGACTGAAGAAGGCATATGCTGTTTTTCTCTTTCTTCAAATGTATAAAGAGATTCATTAAAAAAGCTTGCCTTATCTTAGTTGTCTCCAAATGATAGTGATTACTTATGTTTAATGTGGTATTTATGTTTTGGACCACTACTAGTAAAAAAGAAGAAAGAAAAAAGTGTATCCCTCCTTTGAAATATCTTTAAATCTTCTCTTTAACTAGCTTTTAGGTGGGAGTGGGACTCCAAGAAATTATTGTTCACTTGGGTACTCGAGATGGTAGTGAATGTCATTTCCCATATGCAATCTGAGAAGTTGATTATTGGTCTTCCAACTTCTTTCCTTTCCCTCTTTTTCTCACATGCTTGTGAACTAATCTTTATAATCATTATGGATAAGAAGATGTGTTTGATTGACTGGAAGGTTCACCAACAGTTAGCAGTGACCTTTAGTTTTCTTAATGCAAAAAGCAAAAAAGCATAAAGGTTGTGTAATAATATTGTCAGAAAATTCTGTAAAAACGAGAGCAAGCTTTTATAGAATCGTATCTCTTGTATATAAGAACTGGAAAATAAAAGAAGTTAAATGTTATGGTTCATTTTAGTCATTTGTTGCTTTATTGATCTTTGATGCAGTTTGCTCTCGAATGAATTTTCGAATAAACTGATCCACTCAAGTTTGATTCCTGTTTAAGGTTCTGCTTACTGATACATGCGGTATCATTTTCCCTCGCTAAGTTTTTGTCCCACTGGGTTTTGCTCGGTGAGATTTTAAATGAAACATTTTCCCCCCTAAGGTGTTCACCCTTAGATATCATCTTTTTCTCTCTCTTCTTTAGGTTATTTATTTATTTATTTTTTTGTTACTTGGCTGTAGTTTCAGATGGTTATTATTCCTCTTGAACATATTGTTTTTAATTTCTCTTCTCTGTTTTAATAAAATCAGGGTGACATTGGATGCTCGATTCATGAGCAGGTGCCAACGTTGTTGGGATGTTGACTTGTCTTGTTAAATCCTCTCCTTTCTTTTATTTGTTTCTTCTCTCTCTCTGTTGAAAAACTAGTATATGGATATATGTAAATTGCGTGGGCTTTCCTAATTATAGTGTATCTTTCTCAAATATAATCAAGGTTTTAATTATTTCGAATTAAAATGTCCCCCTTTCTTAATCTTTTCAATCATAATTGCACGACGATGCTTGGTGCAATATCACATTAGGAAATAAAAGGGAGAAAATCCTTGTATAGATTTCCTTAATAATGGTAAGCTTTTTGCGCTTTTTTGCGCTTTTTGCCTTTTTAAAGCACGACAAGCCGCAGAGGAAGCACCATAAGCCCCAAGCCACCTGGAACAAGGGAGAAAAGCACTTTATTGGCTTACCAGCTTAATTCGTCTGAGTGAATCATATTGCTTCACTCTATTGCATATCTACTCATGTATCAGTGTGCTTCTTATAGTTCTAGACTTAGACAATGCATAAATGATTTATTTATATATTTTTGATAATTGTTGACAGTGTCAGTGTGCTCCTTGCACATTCATGGACGTGTGCAAGGGGCAGAGCTAGCCCATAAAAGGAAAATTTGTTTAGGTAGTTGGAATGTAGGTTCTTTAACTGGTAAATCTATGGAGTTAGCATATGTTATGGTAAGAAGAAGAATTAACATTTTATGCTTACAGGAAACGAAGTGGACAGGAGAGAAAGTAAGGAGATTGAAAATTTAGTACACAAGTTATGGTATACAGGTTGGGAAAGGAATCGCAATGGAGTTGGTATTCTAGTGGACAAAACTGTGAAGGATGACGTAGTTGAGATTAAGCGAATAGGGGATAGAATTATTATGCTCAAATTGGTACTAGGAAATAAGTCCATCTATGTAATTAGTGCTTACGCTCCACAAATAGGATTGGATGTGGAAACTAAAGTCAAGTTCTGAGAAGACACGAATGACATAGTGTGTCGTATAGGCAATGAGGATAGCATTTTCATTGGAGGAGATTTCAATGGGCATGTTGGTAAGGATAGGGAAAACTTCGAAAGGATCCATGGTGGTTTTGGTTTTGGAGCTCGAAACGAAGAAGGGAAATCTATTTTGGAATTTGCGTTAGGACATGATTTTATCATAACAAACACAGTTTTTAAGAAAAGAGATTCTCACTTGATAACTTTTAAGAATGGAAGGAACTTAAGCCAGATAGATTATTTTCTCACCAGGTATAGAGATCGTTCTCTATGTAAGAATTGTAAAGTAATTCCTGGAGAAGTACTAGCCACCCGACATAGGTTAGTGATCTTAGATGTGAGCATTAAGTTTTGCTATAGAAGGATTAAGATAAACCACCTCCCACGAACTCGTTGGTGGCATTTGAAGGGAATAAAGCAATTGGCCTTTAAAGAGAAGTAGTTAGATGAGGCTACTTGGTCATATGTAGGTGATGTAAATACTATGTGGGATGCCATGACCAGCTGCATTAGGAAAGTGGCAAAGGAGGTACTAGGGGAATCTAGAGGTAAAGGCCCCTCTGGGAAAGAAACCTGGTGGTGGAGTGAGGAAGTTCAAAAGGCTATTAGGACCAATAGGGATTTATATAGAGATTTACCAAAGCATAAGGATGTTGCAACTTTTAATAAGCACAAAGAAGCGAAGAAAGAAGCTAAGCGAGCAGTTGGTAAGGCTCGTTCTACTTACTTAGATGAGGTATATAGGAAACTTGGGACTAGAGAAGGAGAGAATGATATATATAAACTAACTAAGATAAGAGAAAGGAAGTGTCAAGACCTAAATCATGTGAGGTGTGTTAAGGATGATACGGATCAGGTTCTGACAAGATATAAAGACATTAGGAAAAGGTGGAGGAGTTACTTTGAGAAACTTTATAATGATGATTGTTAGTTTACCAATCCATCCCAAAAGGTTAAGCTGTTAGGAGGTGGGCCAACAATAGTTTTATACTTTAACACTCCCTCATGTGTGGGCTGGACAATGGGCAATCGTGTGGGTAAATTAATTGGAAAGCCCAACACGTGAATATTTAAGCCTGAAATATATTAAAGACCCAACACATTATGACAATTTATATGGGGATAAAGAGTGCAATTACGAGGGTTTGAATTCAGGACCTCCCGCTCTGATACCATGTAAGAATTAGACAAGGAGAAGAATAATCTTTATTCTTTGTCTTATTTCAGAGAAAAACGTACAGGGATTATATAGGCCAAGGAGGCCGAATCTCTTCCCTAAACTAAGGAACAAAATCTGTAAAATAAGAAAACAGAAAAGTCAACTATCCTCTAATATTTTTCTTTCTTAATATCCGGTGTACAGCTAATCATACCCGGATTATGCTTATTCCTTATTCTAATCCCTAATTTACCGACAATGATCATGCGATAGAGTTTGACAATCTTAGGTCACAAGGAGAACCTAATGTGATGTATATAAGAGGAATCAGAGTCTCGGAAGTTAAAACTGTATTGCGGAAGATGAAAAAGGGGAAGGCATGTGGGCTAGATGATATTCCAATAGAGGTTTGGATGGCGTTAGGAGATGCTGGAATTGTGTGGCTCACTAAGCTTTTTAATGAGATACTAAAGAAGAAGCATATGCCTGATGTATGGAGGAAAATTATTCTTGTCCCCATCTTCAAGAATAAAGGAGATGTGCTAAATTGTATAGGGGCATAAAGTTAATAAGCCACACTATGAAACTTTGGGAGAGAGTTATCGAAAGGAGATTAAGGGCCACAACTACCATCTCATGTAACCAATTTGGCTTCATGTCAGGCAGATCAACCACGGAAGCCATTTTTCTTCTTAGGATGCTGATAGAAAGGTGCAGAGAAGCCAAGACGGACCTACATATGGTCTTTATAGATTTAGAAAAGGCATATGATAGGGTGCCGAGGGAAGTTTTATGGTGGGTGTTAGAAAAGAGAGGAGTGCATGTGAGGTATATTAAGGTAATTAAGGACATGTACGATGGGGTGGTCACGAGTATGAGAACTGCTGAAGGCTACACGGCAGAGTTTTCCATTCGGATCGGCCTTCATCAAGGATCTGCTCTTAGTCCTTATCTTTTCATCATCGTGATGGATGAGTTGACAAGAAAAATCCAAGATAGAGTTCCTTGGTGTATGCTTTTTGCGGATGATATAGTTTTAGTTGATGAACATAGGGAAGGAGTTAACCGTAAGTTAGAACTGTGGAGACAGACTCTCGAGACAAAGGGATTTAAGTTAGGTAGGACGAAAACTGAATACATGCATTGTAGGTTTAGTAATTCAAGTAATCAGAGTGATGAAATTTATTTAAATGGTATGGAGATTGGGGCTTCTAGGAAGTTTAGGTACCTTGGGTCTATAGTGCAGTACGAAGGAAATATAGAAGAGGATATTCAACATAGGATTAAGGCAGAGTGGGTTAAGTGGAAGAATGCTACGGGAGTTTTATGTGATGGCAAGATGCCTATTAAGTTGAAAGGAAAGTTCTATAGGACTGTAATCCGCCCAGCTATGTTATATGATAGTGAATGTTGGGCCATTAAGAGACAACATAAATCTAAGATGAGTGGCAGAAATGCGTATGTTAAGATGGATGAGTGGTCATACGAGAATAGATCGCATGAGAAATGAAGTTATTCATAGTAAAGTAGGTGTAACACCAATAGAAGATAAGGTGCGCGAAGACCGCTTGAGGTGGTTCGGGCATGTCCAACGTAGACCGCTAGAAGCACCAGTTCGTGCTTGGGAGGGCATTCTTATACCTAATACTAGGAGAGGGAGGGGTAGACCAAGAATTACGTGGATCGAAGTCGTTAGGAAAGATATTCTAGATCTAGGCCTTCAGGAAAGTTTAATTTCGAACAGAGCCATCTGAAAAAGTGAAATCCATATAGCCGATCCCAATTAAGTTGGGATTAAGGCTTGTTGTTGTTGTTGTTGTTGTTGTTGTTGACAATGCATAAGCAAGCTAACCTTCTGTTTAACTAAATAGTTTCCTCACCATTTTTTTTTCCCAAACGCAGCCATGGATGTCCAGAGCATACGATCCCTGTACTGAGAGGTATTCCAACGTATACTTTAATCTTCCAGAAGTTCAGGAGGCATTTCATGCCAATGTAACTAGGCTTCCTTATCCATGGAAAACATGCAGGTAACTTTTGGTTCTGTATCTTGGATAATTCTCTTTATGTCTTATATCACTATTGTAAATGATAATCTTTCTTTCACAGTGATATTGTGGGAAACTACTGGGCAGATTCTCCACTATCTATGCTTCCCATTTATAAAGAACTCATTGCGGCTGGTCTCAAAATATGGGTATTCAGGTAGGTTACTTTTTCCTCCTGACATTGCCTTCATTCCTTCCTCCCTATTCGATACACACCTCAATTATTTTTTTCTTGAGGAACTTGGTCGTATACAGTTGTAAGCAGTATTTATGATGGGACAATCCATTCTTATTTTTGTGGCTTCCGTACGTAGTTTGCGTTTTGTCTTTTCAGCACAATCTAGAAAAGAACTTCTCATAGGTTTCACCATGCTGTAACTGTTTTAACAAGTTTAGATTTTGTCAATTATGAGCAATCAACACTTTCTTCCTCCATGTCAACAGTAGGATGACCAGAATTACCATGCTAATCGCTAGCAGCAAAAGCCTTTGTCTTTCAATGTTGTCCTATGTTCAAGCCTGGTCAGTGGTAACTTGTAATGAGTAACACTTACCAAACCACGGCGCTACTTTTCATGTAGTCCTGTTGATTAGGGACATAATATGAACCATTCCATAATTATACTCCACCTAGAAATTTGCCCACCAAGCATATTAAGATGGCCATGACCGTGGTAATTTTCTTGGAAGCAGCAGAGTGATTTGATAGGGAAGAGTTAGCCAAAAGATAAAAGTAGAAATGGAGTAGTGCTACGTCGAGAAAACATGTCAAACGGTATTCCTTGAAACTGGAATTATCCCATACTAAACATTGAAGGGCCATTCTCAGCAGATATGGCTGCATTTGTTATTAGGTCGGTATACACCTATACGGGTACAGGGGCACTCCTAATTCAATATCACAAGAAGATAGAAGAGTAAAAGAGTAATTCTGGATTCTTATACGAATTCAAAAAGGGGGGGAAAAAAAAAAGGGAGTTGGACATTATTGTTAGAAAACAGTTATTTCTCCCTATTGGTGCATGCTAGCGTTGCGCAGTGATTTCTTTTCAAACAGGGGTTATTTTCCTTTATCTGAAACATGGCTTTTCATGTCTCTTGTCCAGTGGAGACACTGATGCAGTAGTTCCAGTGACTGCAACAAGATACTCCATAGATGCTCTGAAGCTACCAACTGTTACCAACTGGCACCCATGGTACGAAAATGGCAAGGTAAGTACTCCAAAAGAGATATCATTACCTTGAATATGCACTTTGTCTCTTTATCTTTTTTGTTTTGATTGTATGAAGTGTAGTGGCAGGGTATCTTTTTGTTTGTTTTTGTTTTTGTTTTTTTTTTTTTTGCAATACCTTTTGTAGCAAAATATGCACCTTTAATATTGTGCAAGGATACCTTTATTGTATCATTTTGTCATGTATCCTGCTAAAATTAGAATCCTCTAGTCTCAATCTGCAGCATATTCAGATCATTAATAGAAGAATGGAAATTTGAGAGAGTGATTATTGTTACTGGGAGCCATTACACTTTTAAAAGGAGAACAGCTTTTCCATATCTACAGTACCCTTGTGGGCCACTTTTAGGGTGAGGAAAAATTGTTGTTTGTTATATTTAGATAAGGATAACGCTAGGGACACCAACTCTTATTCCATCTTTTGAACACCAATCTACATGGCATGTGATTTGTAATTATTTTATTGGTAATAGGTGTTCAAAAAATTGCCACGTCAATTAATATTTAAAGCTACGGGCTTGTCCTGGTTCAAAGTTTTGCTACGGTATTTTTTCTCACAAAAATTTAGATTTAAAAAGTTATGCTACAAGGTTCTCTCACAAAAATTTTAAAAATTTAAATTATGATTCAAACCGCCTGATTTGAATCCATTAACCAAACAAGCCCTACATGTACTAGTGAAAACATGACAACTCATTGTCACATTGGTTGGTATTAAAAAGTTGGGATAATGTTGTGATACCTTGTACTACTCTTTGAGAAAAGCTGCACTCCATCTCAGCATTAAAAGGCGGACCCTAGTGCCAAAGAGGTTCCCGTACTATGACAGGCTCGGGGGAAAGCTCAATCCCATATGTACGCGACCTTACCTCCCGAAGTAGAGGCCGTTTCCGGGATTCGAACCCTGGACCTTGGGTGCAAATGCAAGTGCTCCCACCATGGTGCCAAGGCACTCCATCTCAGCATTACAAATATTAAATTATCTTGTACTGACTTGATAACATTTTGATTCACGTATTGTACACTTAAAAACATTTTATTTTGGGTGTGTTCTTTCTGCTTCAAATGTAGGAGTTTGGTGTATGACAAGTCAAGAACCATGACTCAGATTGCTGACTAAACCATTCTATTTGACATGTTAATTACGAAAAACATTACACCATTCTATTTGACATGTTAATTCTGAAACCATGTGATGTTGGTGAAACAGACCGTTATTATTAGAAAAAATTCATCTCCTTACAAACTCTTATCTTTTTGTTATACAGGTTGGTGGCTGGAGCCAAGTATACAAAGGGCTGACATTTGTTACGATAACCGGAGCAGGACACGAGGTTCCTCTTCATCGCCCTCGTCAGGCATTTATTCTTTTCCAATCATTTTTGGAGAACAAGCCCATGCCAAGTTAATGACGTTAAAATCTTATTCACTCATTCTTGATGAATAAGCCGAATAGTATAGAATTTTTACAACTGTTTGTATACAGTGGCAGGGAAAAGACTAAATAAGAGAAGCATTCCTCTCGAGTGTTGCTCCATTCTTGCCCCGAGCAGTGCCGCTTTACAGTTTTAGTCTGCAGACTGCTTTCTGGATCTCCTGTATGAGGAGACTGCAGGAATTAGTTATAGTTAGAGTTTATATTTTGCATTTATAGGATGTAAAAAGGTTGCAGGGAAATAATTATTTATAGGCTTCTATTTGGTGGAAGGAGGGCAAGATTTATATTGTCATAATAAGTGAAACTGAAAGTGTAATTGTTCCTGTGGAACCTATTCTTTATAGCAGTTCCAATCTGCTCTCATTTTTACCTGTGTGCTGTGGCCATAGAGTAACAATTAAATTCGAGAGGCAGTAGTGCTATAGTTATGTTAGGATCCTGGTTGAGTTATACATTGTTAAAGTATGGGCTTAGCATGTGGGTTTATAACTATTTAGCCATCCTCTCCCTACAAGTTAGTTTTCGGGGATGAGTTCTACCTAAGGGTTATATCAATTGGTATCAGAGCATGCCCTCCTCAGGCCCACGTTGCGGAAGGGGCGACCTGGAAAGGCCAGAGTGGGCCATCCAGAGTGGGCCGCCGTGGACGTCGGTGTCGGAAGCGTGGTGGAATGTTAAGATCCTGATTGAGTCTCACATTGCTAAAATATGGGCTTAGCATGTGGGTTTATAACTATTTGGCCATCCTCTCCCTACAAGGTAGTTTTCGGGGATGAGTTTTACTCAAGGGTTATAACAGGTTACCAGCTCTATAGTAGTGCTATGGTTACCAGCTCTATAGTAGTGCTTACTAGCTCTATTATCATCTTTTTTGTACCGACATACATGAAAACAGTTGTCATTTTTTCATTGCGAGATGCAATCTTCTGTTATTGATTCAGGAGGTAATATTTTATCTTTAAATACCTAAAAATAAAAGAATTACGACTTACATATCACGTCACTTGATATCAAAAAGTTAGGATTAGAATTGGTGTTTTAATATTATTCTTTGAAAATAATTTTTGCAATCAACAATGATGATCACCGGAGCTAATAGAATGCAAGCCAATTTACTCGAGCGGTTTGCAGCCTCGTGTTGTATGATGATCAGTCCTGCTAGTATCGTTGTCTGAATTATATTGCTTGTTGCTATCATTTCCCATTTTTTTTCTACACAATTAGGTAAGATAAGTGAATTTCATTGTTTTTTTTCCCACTTGTTCTTGGTTATTCATTCATCTCAGGCAACATTTAAGATATAAACTACAAGCATTAAAAAAAAAACACATTTGAGATATAGTGTTCGTATTCCGAGAAAATACGATGTTACGATAATACTTCTTAGCGGTCGGATCAGGCTAATTTCATTTCATTTGATCAAATGAATCAGAGGCATTGACTGTTGCTAACAAAATTCTAATGCAGAAAAAGAGTTCTTGTTCAATGATCAAGGACAATGCTTTCAGAGAATAACTACTTTACCAAACGCGAACAGTGACTTTGCTTGACTTGACTGCACGCCTTTAGTTGATTCAGCTGCTATGGTGAGAATGGAATGAAAAAAAAAATAAGAAGAAAAACAGTTTGATATCTTTTCTAGAAAGTTGTGGCCATTATATAATAACAACTTGCTAATTATTTTGTGCGTATTATTGGGGTTGGAAAAGAATTGAAAAACTTGGTGGAGATTAAGAAATTAATTGGAAATAAGTAGTGGAGCCGTAAAGGAATCAAAGAAAAGCATTAAACTAGTATTATGATGAGATAAGGAAGAAGGCAAGACATATATTCTATTCCTGCAAAAAAAGATTGTAATCCAGGTCCTAATAATGCTTGAAAAAGAAGCCCATAAATGGGGTCCATTCTCCAAAAGCAATCTCCTTCACACACATTTTGTAGTTACCAAAATGCCTGTTGTTCTTTGCTTGCCTTGGACTATGCACCATTAAACTGATGCCTCTTTATTCTTGAGGCTGCTTTCTCATAAGATAAACCTGATCATCTCTTGACTAAGGAAAATTCTTTTTCAGCACTGTATATAATGCATTCAGTTTTTGAGCTTGCTACTATTTGATGATCAAACTTTTTGTCGATACCATATTTGGGACATGATTAGCTCATGCAGATTTAGCGGTTGAAAATAATTTACCAGCATTGATTTTTAATATTTGGAAAGAGCGCAATTTTAAAAAAAAATTCCGGAACTTTGGCGACTTTTACACCTTATTCTTGCGCTTGCAAATTCATCCTACTGTCTAATTTCTTACGGAAAAAAGAAGAAAGAAAATAAGGGTGAATATGTTGAGCTAGTTAAAGAATATATATAGTTAGGTATCTATCATCGAATTGACTATCCTAATTGCCCTCCCTAATTTTAGAACAATGCACCATATTCGAGAATTTAATTGTCACTATCATCTCCATCGGTAATTGTCCATGAATTGAAGTTTCAAGTGGGTTCCCTCCTAGCTTAACCTGAAAAGCCGTTAGAAATGCCTCATTTTCTCTCAACCGTCTGCCTCTAATATATCATGTAATTTTCTATACAACTTTTTTTTTAAATCTTAAAAATAAGATATTAAAACTTTAAACCAGAGTTACATATGAAATTACCCCTAGCTATACCTGCAACCATAACTTATATATACAAAACATAACCATGACTTATATAATTGCATCGGTATATTATTTATATAAAAACAGTAAAAGATGAATAGGATTGTTGATTCTTTACTCATAAGATGTTCCATCAAGATTGTTCCATAACAAAAGGGTGTTTCGGTCAATATACGACTTTAAAAAGAAGTTCCTTAGTGAATAAGAAATTGAGATTAGTGCAATTAATTAGGTCATGTTCATTTCACCGATTCGAGTTTAGAATTTGAGTTTTGTTACAGTAAAAAAATATTAGAAATAATCATATCTAACTTTTTTGTTACAATAAAAAGCTTTTACATAAAATCACATATAAACTCGAATTAAAAATTCGAATCAGTGAACTAAATGGGCCTTTACTCTTCTTAATCCTCACTCACTTAACTAAAAAGTTATGATCAACATAGGAAAAAGCAAGAAATGAGAAAAGGCGATCAACACATTCCGAATTTCCAAGCTGCATGAGAAAAGCAAAGGAGCAACCCCTCACTTAAAAAGAGAAACACAAAAGCTTCACAAAACCCTCCACAAAGAATATAAAATAAAAATAGATAGAAGAATCATAGCAAGAGAAAGAATAACATAAACCACAAAACACAGAGAGAGAGATAGAGGAAAAAAAAAACAAAAACAAAACGTAACAAGCAATAATGTACCGTTTTAGCAACACTGTAATAGGGTTCTTGAACCTTTTTACCCTCTTGGCCTCAATCCCCATCATCGGCGGAGGCCTATGGTTGGCGAGGAGCAGCACCACCTGCGAGAGCTTCCTCCAGACGCCGCTCCTCGTCGTCGGCTTTGTCGTCCTCATCATCTCCCTTGCAGGCTTCATCGGCGCGTGTTTTCACGTCGCATGGGCCTTGTGGGTGTACCTCGTCGTCATGCTATTCCTCATAGCGACCTTCCTGGGGTTGACTGTCTTCGGGTTCGTTGTTACCGGCAAAGGGGGTGGTGTCGAGGTCCCCGGGAGAATGTACCGGGAATACCGCCTCGAGGATTACTCGCCATGGCTGAGGAACAGGATCAAGGACCCAAGGTATTGGAGTACTATTAGGAGCTGTATTCTGGGGTCCAATACTTGTGCCAAGCTTGCCACGTGGACAACTCTGGATTATCTTGAGAGGGATATGACTCCTATACAGGTGATTATTTTTTAGAGTTGATTTTTTGATTTGAAGGGTTTGTTGTTTGATAATTAAGGTTCTTGTTATGGAAGTGAAAAGATATGAACTGCTAATTAATTAGATTGTTTAAACAAAGTAAAGAAGAAAAAGAAAGCTTTTGAATTGTGGGTGTGTAATTTTTGGTATGGATCTAAGGTTACTTTTAGCTTTTGCATGCGCAATAAAACTATGTTAGTATTTTACATGCAAAACTTAGTATATTTTCCTGAAGAAAATTTTCCGTTTCAAAAGAAAAAGGGAAAGAAAGCAAACTGAGTGTGTTTTGTGTACATATAAACACAGAATTTTAGGCTTCCTTTCCTTTTCTTTTTTTGTCCTTGTTTTTCTACTTTTTTGATCTTTTTTCTTGCGTGAGACCTAATTTCTTTAGCTGAGTTTGCAAAGTATAATTGTAATGATAACATTAAATCGATAGACAAGTTAGGCTAATTCTATTCTCTCACAAACCCAACGTTACCTTCTGCCATTCTTTTTTTTTTTTTTTTTTTTTTTTTTTTTTTTTTCTTTTTCCCTTTTTTTTTTTTTTTTTTTTTTTTTTTTTTTTTTTTGTAGCTATTTGTTTACAGTAGTAATAACTAAAGTATATTTCAAACTTAACCTTTTCTTTTTCTTCCAAATTTTACTTTTGTGTAGCATATAATTAGCTCCTTAGCCAAATTTGTAAAGTGAAAAAAGAAAAAAAAATTAACTAATTCATATTGCGATATTTTTGTAGTCTGGTTGTTGCAAGCCACCAACAACATGCAACTACAACATGGCCACAACGGTGGCACAAGACCCCGACTGCTATCGCTGGAACAACGCTCCGAATTTGCTATGCTACGAGTGTGATTCTTGCAAAGCTGGAGTTCTTGAAGACATCAGGAGAGATTGGCACAAACTCTCTGTCCTCAACATTATCATGCTTGTGATTCTCATTGGCATCTATTCAATTGGGTGTTGTGCTTTTCAGAACACCAAAAGAGCCGAAACGGATTACCCGTATGGCGAAAACCGGATGAAGAGGGTCCGACCCAGATGGGACTACTACTGGTGAGTCTTACTTTAGAGCATATTAATTTTCTTTTTGCCTCAATTTTCACTCGATTCATTAGGAAAATGTTATTCATCACAACAACTATTGCAATCATCCTACTAGTGGTAGCAGTATATTAAATTGTCGCGTAACAGTGTGAGATCTTAGATAAATATTTTGTTTCACTGTATGTGGTGGTAACAATCAGTGGCAGAGTCAGCCTTTCACTTAAGTAGGGGCGTACACTAAATTTTTTTAAACAAATTATTTTAGTGGGGGCATATATTATTTCAGTAAGAGTTTAAGTGTAAAATTTTAAAATTTTAAAGGTAATATTTTTTTCAAAAAAATTTGAGTTGAGGTGATAGTCCTTATTGAGCTGTATTTAAATCCGTTACTGGTGACAATACAATGCTCAGTTATAGAGTCGTTTCATGATTATTGTTAGTAATTTTACGATCTAGTAATTATAATCGACAACATATTCATAGGGTTACATATTAAGACTTCTCGTTTTTATAATATTGAAATTTGTAATTGATTGAAAATCTAGTAAGGTCATGAACACTATTGATTATACTTACTATTTTTCGTTGCTAAATTAAATGACCATAAACAGTGTTTTAATCCCCAAGCATTAATTGAGTGTGTGGGCCCCATATTGCATTGTGCCACTTTATAAGTGATATATTCACTTCACTACCTCTTGTATACCAAAAAATATTCACTACTTCTTACAGAGTACTTGCAAGAGTTTTGATGTGTTATGCTCTGTTTTTCCTTATGTTTTTTAGAGATTCTCTGATATGTCTGGTGTACATGTCAATTATACTTTTTCACTTTAATATGATTTCGATCAATTCTAACATTAAAAAACATACAACGTTAATAAACATACCATACCCTACTAAGAAAATTAGAATGTTTGTATCTAACATGGGTTGGTGAGCAAAGCTAGGGTTGTTTTAACGTTTTTGATGCATCCAAAGTAAAGTGAACATTGTAAAAGTTTTACCTAGACATACATTATTGGTCAGTTGAAGAGTCTTTCGCTAATTCTCACTCTATTCTTTTTGGTTTATTTTTTTATTTTTTTATTTCTCCACAGGTGGAGATGGTGGCATGACAAAAGAGAGCAGCTTTATTAGCTGATCAAGAGCCTTTGTTATCTTTTATCAATTTCTTTCCCAGTCTTAATTAATTAGCTGCTATGCTAAGATATATATATATATATATATATCCTCTCAAGGCAGTAAACAAACATGAAGATACCCGTCTTTTATTTAGTGAAAACACAAGTACATAAATACTTTCACTAAACAAGACCAATTTAAGTAGAAAAATCTGAAAAATGATCCTAGAAACCTTTCATATATAGAAATGGGGGTTTTACTTTTGCATCAACAATAAACCAAATGTTTATGTTGCTATGTTACAGTTAACCTAACAAGAGCAAACACAGCCAACAACAATTACGACTATATTACACTACAACAAATATGAAATATATAGAGCTATTGTCGGATCATCATGATTCGTAGAGGTCTCTCTACCTCAAAAAAAAAAAAAAAAAAAAAAAAAAGGGGAAAAAAAGGAAAAAAAAGGAAGAAAAAAAAAAAAAAAAAAAACAAAGTGGTCATCGCAAATATGCTTTAGTCTAGTCATAGCAAAAACTTGCTTAGTATATTGCTAAATCTCCGTAAAAGCAAAGTGGTTTTATTAAATTTGGTAATAATAATAACTCCTTAGCTGATCTTTCAGGGAATTAATTATGATATTAGATTGATAGACAAGTAGGCTAAATCCATTAATCTATCACAAACAAACCTATACCCAACTTTATATTTTGGCTTTGTAGCAATATTTTGTTTCACTGTATGTGGTGGTAACAATCAGTGGCAGAGTCAGCCTTTCACTTAAGTAGGGGCGTACACTAAATTTTTTTAAACAAATTATTTTAGTAGGGGCATATATTATTCAGTAAGAGTTTAAGTGTAAAATTTTAAAATTTTAAAGGTAATATTTTTTTCAAAAAAATTTGAGTTGAGGTGATAGCCCTTACTGAGCTGTATTTAAATCCGTTACTGGTGACAATACAATGCTCAGTTATAGAGTCGTTTCATGATTATTGTTAGTAATTTTACGATCTAGTAATTATAATCGACAACATATTCATAGGGTTACATATTAAGACTTCTCGTTTTTATAATATTGAAATTTGTAATTGATTGAAAATCTAGTAAGGTCATGAACACTATTGATTATACTTACTATTTTTCGTTGCTAAATTAAATGACCATAAACAGTGTTTTAATCCCCAAGCATTAATTGAGTGTGTGGGCCCCATATTGCATTGTGCCACTTTATAAGTGATATATTCACTTCACTACCTCTTGTATACCAAAAAATATTCACTACTTCTTACAGAGTACTTGCAAGAGTTTTGATGTGTTATGCTCTGTTTTTCCTTATGTTTTTTAGAGATTCTCTGATATGTCTGGTGTACATGTCAATTATACTTTTTCACTTTAATATGATTTCGATCAATTCTAACATTAAAAAACATACAACGTTAATAAACATACCATACCCTACTAAGAAAATTAGAATGTTTGTATCTAACATGGGTTGGTGAGCAAAGCTAGGGTTGTTTTAACGTTTTTGATGCATCCAAAGTAAAGTGAACATTCTAAAAGTTTTACCTAGACATACATTATTGGTCAGTTGAAGAGTCTTTTGCTAATTCTCACTCTATTCTTTTTGGTTTATTTATTTATTTATTTCTCCACAGGTGGAGATGGTGGCATGACAAAAGAGAGCAGCTTTATTAGCTGATCAAGAACCTTTGTTATCTTTTATCAATTTCTTTCCCAGTCTTAATTAATTAGCTGCTATGCTAAGATCACTGTTCCCCAGAAAAAGGACAGATTTTTTTTTTATTTATTTTTTATTTTTAAAGTGTATGCAATGCATGGGCAGTAGAACTGAAGCTCTCCGGGGCACCTTCTTTCTGAGCATTTCTTTTGCTGTTTTTTGTAATTAAAAAGATGGATTTTCTTTTTTTTTTTTTTTTTTTTTTTTTTTTTTTGT